GTCTTAGTATTTTCTTATGTCATTGAGTTTCCTTAAGATTATTACTCAGAATTCCTTTTTAGTCATTTCAAGTGTTTCCTGTTCTGTAGGATCTGGTACTTGAGAATTACTATATTCCTTGGTGTTGTCATATTTTCTTGTTTTTTCACATTTCTAGTATCCTGCATTGATGTCTGGTCATCTGGTAGATCAGTTGCTTCTTCTACTACTCCAGAGTGGACTTTGAGGAGAAAGCCTTCCTCATCTTTTCCCAGGCTCCTCTGGTGACTCTCTCTGTCAGTGCAGTCCAGTATGAGGTGGGCCACCTGCATGGTGATTGTGCCTTCTACTGTGGTGACAAGCTGTCCTTGAGGTGGTAGAAGCTGCAGTGGCAGCTGTTGTGGACCATCTCCATGGAAGAGTTGCAGGGCCTCCCTGTCCCAGTGGTGGTACTTCTCCTGCATTCTATCCAGGTGGGGGTAGGCCTCTCCAGAGCTTTTCTGTGCCTTGTGCCTCCCTGTCACAGTGGTGGCACTCCTTCTGCCTTCTGTGTGGGCAGGGAGTTAGGGCTCCTAATAGGCCTCTCAAACTCAACATGCCCGAAACTGAAATTCCCACTCTGCCTACCTCCCTTTAAAACGTCAGCTCCACCAGCAGCCTTGCTTGTTTCCGTTGACAGCAGCTCCATCTTCTCAGTTGCAAAGGGCAAAAGACTTGGAGTAATTCTGTATTTCTTGCTTAATCTTATACCCCACATTCAATCGGTCAGAAATTCCTATTGGTTCTCTTATATAAAAAAAATGTAGACTCCAACCACATGCCCATGTCTCCACTCCTACCCTCTCATTGTGACTGTCAACATTTGTCACCTTGATTACTGTAGCTGCCCCAATCAGGACTCTGTTTCCATCCTTGACCCACTCCCACACTCTGACCTTAACATAGGAACTAGAGGGATTCTTAATAAGGTGATTCAGGTTGTATCAATTATCTGCTCAAAATCCCATTTCAGGTCATTACACAGTGATCCTACCACCATCTTATGACTCTCTGACTTCATCTCAGACTACTCTCTCCCTTTCTCACTCCATTGTTCTCTCTTCTGTCTTTCACACCCATAGGCAGACAGCTGCCTTTGGACCCTTGTTCCAGCTGTTCCCTCTGTTTCAAATTCTCTTCATTCAGGTGTCCTTGGGTCTCACACCCTTGCTGCCTTTGTGCCTTTGTTCCTATTTTGCTTTCTCACTGAGTTCTACCCTGTCCACTCTACTCAAAATTGCAACCCCACCCTTCCTACCTTGTTCTGTGTTTTCTTTTTCCCACATAATTTGTCACTCTCTAAATAAAATGTAATTAACATTTTTGTTTATATGCTATGCAAACTGTCTTTCTTCCTGAAATTAAGATTCTTTGTCTTCTACAATCATTGATATGTCCCAAGTTCATATAAAAATGCCTAGCCCATAATAAGTACTCAAAAAATAATTACTAAATGAATCAAGGACAGAGATGCTGTCTTTTATTTTTTGCATTCCACTCGATACTGGTTTGCTTTCTTTTTAGTTTTTTAAGTGAATGCATGATGTATTTACTTAATAAACTAATATTTATAATTCTTCTGTTGGTAAGTCTATTTAATTAATTTTAAATGTTACTACATGAGTAAATGAACAGAACAAAACAAAAGTGCAAATGTGTTAGATTGTATTTTCTCACGGGGAAGAACTGCAACATTAGTAGAGAAAATAACTGTTTACAGTTATTTCCATAAGTCACTCCAGAATGAAAGCTGTCAGAGCTGCATTGATTTGTCTACTTCTCATGATGGATTCCCTCTGATCAGTGTCATCTGCTAGGATTTTGGTGAGACTGGTGACAAGATTCCAAAACTTTCCTGCTTAAACCTTGTGAGCTCTTTGAGGGTAGGACTGGGATTTTGTATTTTTTATTCCTGGAACTAAGCACTCAGGTGATTGAAGGACAAACCAAAGTGGCTGATTGTGAGGGCATTTCACAACCCTTTGCAATTAGTATGCCAGCGTTAAACACTGCTTCTATAGTACTCCAAAAATGTGACCAAAAGGACGTTGAAAATTTATTTTCTCTCTACATTTGCCTTCTCAAAGAGCCACTTCTCTCCAATAGGTATTTGTGAGAGTCCAGTGAGAGCATGTCTATGAAAGAACTTGAGTTTTATTGAAGGTCTGATCAGTTTGGAAGACCTGCTTTTAAAGTCCCAGAGATCAGCAGCTTTTGTTATTCACACAGGATGAGATGGATACTTCCTATAGTAATGGCCTGCACTTCTCAACCACAGCATTTGTGAAATTTTTGTGCCTCCTCCCGCTCTTGCCCAACCCACATTGAGAGGTGTGATATTTTGATGGTTACAAGCATGACATTTACCTGATGCAAGTCACTTAACTTCTCAGCCTCAGTTTCTTCATTGTAAAAATAAAAGTAATATATCTCACATAAAGATAGTTCCAGGATTGAAGGTGATAATGTATGTGAGATAGTTTTGTAAACCTCAAAGCACTGGGTAAACAATACTTATTCCAATTAATATTATCATCACTAATAATTATTATATTAATAATTAATATTGAGTCCTCCCCAAAAAGAAAGGAATATTTTACCTTTTCTGGTCTTGTTGACTCCTAGGGATTACACACACACACACACACACACACACACACAAACACACACACATACATATTTCTAATAGAATTTTTGGTTCACAGAACTACCATATGTGGCAGAGTGAATACTTTGAACACTGCTTGGAAAAGCCAGGTTCTTTGCTGTCATCCCAGAAGGCCATGTAAGTTCTTTTGCCAAATGACAATCAAAGCTGAAAAATGTTTCATTATGATTATTTTGTTAGATTTTGAGAACATTTTCCTCTGCTTTCCTCCATGTTTGGCAATCACTTTCTATCATGGAACATTCTGTCTGAAGTGCTTAGTCTTTTTTTATCTGTACCAGAAGGAGGTAGTTGGGCTGGGCAGTGAAAGTTCCTTGTGACATTGTGCAGACTCACTGCTGCAAGAGCGCAGGAGCGAAGTCCCCATTGTTTACTAACATAGCTTCCCAATGCCTTATTAAAAATTATGTCATCCTTAGCATTACTCAAATCATAAATATTGTTTTCTGAACAATGTGGAGTTTGGGATACCACAACTGGAATGATGTAGGGAATTTAAGAGGCTTTGGATGAAATTACAAAAATAATTGTGAAGTTTTGTAAAAAATTTGAAGCACTGAGATATTATAGACAAAGAGAATTATTGTAAAATGAGAATAATAAACCAATTAATGGGTGATTTAGGTCATATGTAACAGGAGGGTTAGGTTTAGAATGTCCTTGTGAATGAGAGGGAGGCATAACGTGGGAGTGGGAGGAATAGTGACTACATGGTGAAGGCCATGTAAGTGGCAATGTGACCTTTCCCTAAGACCCTCCGAGTGTTTTCTCTAGAAGTCACGGTACACATGGAGTGGCTGTCCTGTGGAAGCAGGAGAAGAGTCTAAATTTTGCATTCCGTTTTGGTTGGGAGAAACAGAGGTGTTTTGACAATGAAAATTCTTAAGACACAGGAAACCTTGGGGAGGATAAGATTTCCCTAGGACATGGGACAGGGGTTCAAGGCAAACCAATGTAGGTATTGAATTATATCTAGTTTTTATATACAAGGAAAACACCAATTGCACTTATATAGTTGTTCTAATTACATATCTTCTTATTATTAACAAGTTAATATCTTCTTAGTATAAGTGTTAATATCTTCTTGTTATTAAATGCTGTGCTGCATTCAAGGAAGTTGCATGAATGATTGGATGATGTATGATGTGTGACTGAACATCAATGTACTGTACAGGCAGCATTGACCAACTAACCCTTTCTCTGGTATTTGTAATCTAAATGAGAATCATTACATTAAGTTGTGAATCTTGTGTTATATTTTAAATATGTAAATGTTATTTTATTAGTAATAAAATAGTTGAATTTTTAAAAAAAATGTTCTTTTGGAGAAAAGGTACCCTTATAGTATCTTGACTATTATCTAGATAAATGTTAGGGTTTTTTTCTTTTAAGATAATAAATCACATATTTTAAAACAATCATTTTTATATTTCAGAAATATCTGAAATGAATAATAATTTAGAAATTTGAGTTTATTAAACGTAATTGTAGTGATATTTATGTCAGGGGACATGGCACATTTTGATTTTTTGTGGGGAAGGTCAACAAATACATGCTATTTTGTTTTATGTATTTATTTATTTTTGTCTGCTGGACAGTACAGGGATCTGAACCCTTGACCTTGGTGTTATAACACCATGCTATAACCAACTGAGCCAATAGGCGAGAGCCCCCCTACATGCTATTTTTAAAGGACAGCAAAAATAATTGTTTATATTTTGTTTATTAAGTGTAAATTTTTTTCCAGTGAAATGGAGTTAATTTTTTAAAATATATTGAGACTTGATTTGTGACCTATCCTGTGGTGTATCCTGGAGCATGTTCCATGAGCTGATGAGAAGAATGTATATTCTGAGGCTTTTGGATGAAATATTCAATAGAAGTCTTCCATGTCCAACTGGTTTAAAGTGTTGTTTAGATTTTGTTTCTCTGTTGATGTTTTGCCTAGATGATTTGTCCAATGTTGAGAGTAGGGTGTTCACTTCCCCTGCTATTATGGTATTAGTGTTTATCTCTCCTTTTTTTATGTCTAATAGTGTTTGCTATATAAATCTGGCTGCTCCAATGTAAGGTGCATACNTGAAATATTCAATAGAAGTCTTCCATGTCCAACTGGTTTAAAGTGTTGTTTAGATTTTGTTACTCTGTTGATGTTTTGCCTAGATGATTTGTCCAATGTTGAGAGTAGGGTGTTCACTTCCCCTGCTATTATGGTATTAGTGTTTATCTCTCTCTATGTTCATCAAAGATATTGGCCTGTAGATTTTTTGTTTTGTTTTGTTTTATCTTTGTCTATCTGGTTTTGCTATCAAGTATGATGCTGGCCTCATAGAATTAGCTTGGAATAGTGGCCTCTGCTTTAATTTTTTGGAATAGTTTGAAGAGAATGGGTATTAATTCCTCTTTAAAGGTTTGGAAGAATTCAGCAGTAAAGCCATCCAGTCCTGGGCTTTTCTTTTTTGGGAGACTGCTAATTACTACTTCAATCTCATTGCTTATTATTGGTCTATTCGGGTTTTCTTTTTCTTCTTGGTTCACTGTTGGTCATTTGTATGTGTCCACAAATTTATCCAATTCCTCCAGGTTTTCAAATTTGTTGGTGTATCATTGTTTGTAATAGTCTCTAATGATTCTTTGTATTTCTGTAGTATTGTTTGTAATGTCTCCTTTTTCATTTCTGATTCTCATTAATTGGGTCTTCTCTCTTCTTTTTTTAGTTAGCCCAGCTAATGGTTTATCTATTTTGTTTATCTTCTCAAAAAACCAACTTTTTGTTTCATTGATCTTTTGTATAATTTTTTGGTCTCTATTTCACTTAGTTCTGCTGCAATCTTAATGATTTTTTTCCATCTACTAATTTGGGGATTGAATTGTTCTTGTTTTTCTAGTTCTTTGAGGTGTAGCGTTAGACTGTTTATTTGAAATCTTCCTATTTTTTTATGTAAGCATTAATTACAATAAACTTCCCTCTTTGTATTGCTTTTGCACAATCCCACAGGTTTTGATATGATGTGTCTTTATTTTCAATGGTGTCAAGAAATTTTATGATTTCCTGTTTAACCTCTTCTTGGACCCCAGGTTGTTCAGGAGCCTGTTGTTTAATTTCTATGTATTTGTGTGTGTCCTAAGTTTCATTTGTTATTAATTTCTAGTTTTAATCAATCATGGTCTGAAAAGATGCTTGAGATTATTTCAATTTTTTAAAATTTGTTGAGATTTGACTTGTGACCTAACATGTGGTCTATCCTGGAGAAAATTCCATGTTCTGATGAGAAGAATGTACATTCTGTAGTTGTTGGATGAAATGTTTTGTAGATATCTGCCAGATTCAATTTGTCTAAAGTGTGGTTTAAATCCTGTGTTTCTCTGTTGATTTGTTTCCTGGATAATCTGCCCAGTGCTGAGACAAGCATGTTCAGGCACCTCACTGTTATTGTATTGGGGTTTATCTCTTTTTTTATGTCTAATAGTGTTTGCTATATAAATCTGGCTGCTCCAATGTAAGGTGCATACATATTTATGACTGTTATGTCTTCTTGCTGGATATATCCCTTTTTCACTATATAGTGGACTTCTTTATCTCTTTTTATGGTTTGTGGTTTTAAATGTATTTTATCAAATACAAGAACAGCTACTCCAGCTCATTTTTCATTTCTGTTTTCATGGTATATCTTTTTCTGTCCTTTCACTCTTAGTCTCTGTGTGTCTTTACAGGTGAGGTGAGTCTGTTGAAGACAGCATATTGTTGGGTCCATCTTTTTAATCCAATCAGTCAGTCTGTGTCTTTTGAATGGGGAATTTAATCCTTTTACATTAAGAATTATAATTGAGAGGTATTGATTTACTCCTGGCATTTTATTGATTTTTGTAATTTATTTTCTTGGCCCTTTACCAATTCCACCTTTCTCCCCCTCCCCCTTACCCACCCCCATCAGCATCATATCTGTTCTCTTAATAAGTTCAAGGAATTACTGTGATTGTTGTATCTTTTTTTTTTCTATTTACTTGTTTATTCCTTTTTATTAGCTCTCATATATAAGTGAGAACATGCAGTATTTCTCTTTCTGTGCCTGGCTTATTTCACTTAAGATAATCTTCTCTGAGTTCATCCATGTTGCTACGAATAGCAGTATTTCATTCTTGATTTTTGTTCAGATGTTTTTAATATCTTTTCTTCCTTTCTTTCTTCTTTTCTGTTTGTCTATTGTGTTTGTTGGTTTCTTGAGATGGTAGATAAACTTCTTTTCTCTTCATTGTTTTTTGTTTGTTTGTTTTGTTTTACTGGTTGGTTTTTCTTTCTTGAGTATTCATGATAGTGATGGTTGTTTTTCTGGTATCAGGCACTCCCTTGAGAATTTTTTGTAAGGCTGGTAGTGTGGTGGTGACCTACCACAGTTTTTGTTTGGGAAATATACTTTGTCCTTCATTTTGGAAAGATAGCCTGACTGGGTATAATATTCTTGGCTGACAATTTTTGTCTTTTAGTATTTTGAATATATCATCCCATTTTCTTCTGGCTTTTAGGGTTTCTGATGAAAAGTCTGCTGTTAGTCTGATAGGGGCTCCCTTACAGGTGACTTGACACTTTTCCCTTGCTTCTTTTAAGATTCTCTTTTTGTCTTTGAGCTTTGCCAATTTGACTATAATATGTCTTGGAGAGGATCTTTTCAGTTGAATTTGTTTGGGGATCTTTGAACCTCCTGGATCTGAAGATCTGTGTCTTTCCATATAACTGGGAAGTTTTCCAATATTATTTTGTTGAATATGTTTTCAATGCCTTTTCCTTTTTCCTCTCCTTCTGGAACACCCATGATTTGGATATTTGAGTGCTTAAGGTTGTCTGCTATTTTTCCTGGATTTTCTTCATTTTTTAAAATTCTTTTTTCTTTTTCTTTTTTGTCCACCTGAGTTACTTCAGAAAGGCCATCTTCAAGATCAGAAATTCTCTCTTCTGCTTGTTCTAGTCTGCTGTTTAAGCTCTCTGTTGTGTTTTTTATTTTGTTGAATGAATCTTTCAGTTCCATAAGCTCTGCTACATTCTTTTTCAGGGCATTGATTTCTTTGTACATTTCCTCATTCATGTACTGTATACTTTTTCTTATTTCATTGTTTTGTGTAACTGAGTCTTCTTATATCTCATTGAATCTCGTTAGAATTGTTGCTCAAAATTCCTTTTCATTCATTTCAAGGCTTTCCTGTTCTATAGGATCTGGTATTTGAGAATTATTATATCCCTTTGGTGGTGTCCTATTTTCTTGGTTTTTTTTTTTTTTATATTTCTAGTATCTCTCTGTTGATGTTTAGTCATCTGCTAGAGAATTTACTTTTTCTCGTACTCTGGAGTGGGATTAGTGGAGAGAGAATTCCTTCTGCAGGTGTGTTTTATAATGATGGTCTTTTATATTTCTAGTATCTCTCTGTTGATGTTTAGTCATCTGCTAGAGAATTTACTTTTTCTCGTACTCTGGAGTGGGATTAGTGGAGAGAGAATTCCTTCTGCAGGTGTGTTTTATAATGATGGTCGAATGGGGTGTTTTAATGTTAGTTCCAGGTAGACGTCATAGTGTGGTCTTTAGTAGGTATTCTGGCTGAATTCAGTGTCAAAGATTCATGAGAGGACACTTATTATTTCCTTGCTGAGGTTGGTGACACTATATTGGTTCGTCAGGACATGGGTGAGCTCTCAAATTTTGGCAGATAGCACCTTGGAGTCTTGTCACTCTTAGGTTATAGTTTCTGTTCCTGGATGAGACTGTCGGCACCCTGGCTAGCTCACCCTGACCCTGATGGGTGCACTGGGGTATAGTAGTGCACCTCAATTTGAACGAATGACTCTGGATGGGTTTTCTCTTTTTTCTTTCCTCTTTCCCCCCTGCTGGTGTCACTCCTGTCTGTGTTGATGAGTGGTCACCAGCTAACCTATGAGGTAGCAGTGGTTGCTGTTGTGGCAGCAAGCCATCCTTGAGACAGCAATTGCTATGGTGGTGGCTGTTATGGCCCACTTGTTCTGCACTGGTGTCTGCAGCAGTGGATGGGAGTGTTGCTGACTACAGCTGTCTGCCAGTCTAGTGGGGCCTTGCTTGCCTGGGTCCCATGGGGCTGCCAGCCGCCACTTCATCAGGGCCTCTCCTTACTGTTTCTTCACCCATTTTGAAATAGAAAAAATGTTCATGCTTATGAAATTCTCAAATGATGTTTTAATTAACAATGATTTATTTCAAAGACGGAAGACATAAGTAGCTACTGTTGTAAATTAGATCAACAATCAGTGGTTATATGAATCCAAGCATTTGGTTACTTCTGCTTTTCATTAAGATGACTCTGGAATTTGTCAATTCAGACATAATGTAATAACGGTTTGGGCTTTGTAATCAGACAGACCTGCTCTCAAATCCTGGCTGTCATGTATTTGCTATGGGGCCAGAGCAGCTTACCCAAAGGTGCTAACTTTACCATATGGTATTATCATCAGGATTAAATGTGACACATATATTAAGTAACATTAAAAGTAAGTGCCCAATAAATATTAATTCCTTCCATATCCCCACTAATTTGCTTGTGTTCCTAATGCATCATCCTTTACCCTGAATTGTATTGTAGGAGGTATTCTGGATGGATGGCTGCTGGGAACCCATTGCCATAGCCAACTCTTCTTCAGTACTTAAAGATTTACCCTGGCATTGAGTAATGAGAATTTCGGTAAGAAGAAATAGATGAAAATAGCATGTGGACTTTTCTTAAAGTGTTGCTTGAGTATCAAATACTTTGTCCTAAGTTATATGATTATATTTTTAAAGATCTTGGGATGTCATGGATACCTGTTCATGTGTGTATTGTTCTTATTCTGAAAATAAGTAAAATAGGTTTTAAAAAATTCTGTTAATCTTGCTGTGCTCTTCATGTCGTTGTAAATGTATTACAGTCCTTATCTCACCCTATTTTGTTCTTTAAATGTCTACCTACTCATTAAATTACGTAGTCTTTGAGGGCAAAGTCTGGGTGTTACTCATCTTTTTGGTATAGACTAAATGAAGCATAAACTCTTAGTGGTTAAGAAAAAAACTGTTAGTGGTTAACACTGCTTTCTGAGACTATGAAAGCTTTATGCAAAAGAGGCAGGTAAAAGTGTCAAAACTGGGAAGTTCTAAGACAAATGGTTTTGCCAAATCACCAAGAAAAATCATTATATGGTTTCTCTCAGTATGGATCAAATTATCTCTAGTCTTTTCCATTTTTATCCAACTTTTCTCCAATTGATAACAACATACAATTAATTTTCATATTATTACATGAAATTAACATAGAACTAGCACACCTGTGTAAGTAATGCCTATTAGCAATCTGTGCTGTATAAAATATGTAGTCCAATTAAAAAGGAGCGAAGGATGCGGGGAAGGTCAAAGATAATAGAAAAAACTTAAGTGGTGACATTAGTACATATGTAAATGACTAAATATGTAAACTTTGTTAAATTATTATCATTGACATACACCTTGAGAAATATTAAAGAATTTTATGCATAGGAGACAGAGTTGGAGGTGGGGAAATGAAAAAAATGATAAATTCTAGTTTCATTATTTCTGATAAGAAGCATTAATTGTGAAATTATAATAAGTTTACATTTTTGTACCCAAAATATGATAAAATATTATTTTAAATTTTACTTTTTAACTAAAAAAATAATTATTTTTTCTTTGATCATTTTTTTCAGAAACCATATTTGAGAAGTACTTCCATCCAGTGCTACTTGTGTTTACTTCTAAACAGTCATTTTTTAAATGAGGCTGGCATTCATGTCTTCATTTTGGGGTAATTTTATCTTTAGGCATGAATATCATCATGTAAATAGCTATAATGATTGTCCTTCCCTTTAAAATTGGTTTATGTTCAGTTTGCTTATATCTCTAGGTACTCAGTGTTTGGGGCATGATAGGGGGCAGATTATGGAGATTCAGAGGAGGTTAAGTAAACACCTAACTGAGCATTTTTATACACTGGGAATATTCCAAATGCATATTATATCTCCCAAGTAAATTTGGCCTCTTGACATCTAACTAAACTTGGAAGTACTCCACTTCCTGATATCCTGTATGCTTTTCATAGCAGTAAAAAGTAGATATTTAAGATTCACTTATGTTATTTGCTCTATCCCAGGCACCGACTCCTCCTCTCCTTTGATCCACATCCTATTTCAGTTTAAAACATTTCTTTTGTTTATTTAGGCCTTCTGTTTTCCCTCCTGATAAACATTCACATTTTTCCATGTCTATGAACTTTTTTCTTCTCTCTTAGATGCAGCTAATATACTGTACCCAGTTGGCCCAAAGCGCCCAACTTCTAGTTAAATAATCTGACTCCCAGTTCAGTTTTACTCTACTAACACCTTCATGGTAAGGAGAACCATAGATTTGTGCAGGTAAATCTTCCTCATGAGACAGATTAGTGCTGACTATCATGCTTTCCTACGAGATCCATCAGGGAGTGACTATATTTCCTGAAGCTTTAAGAATCTTTCCAGTCACTTGGGTCTTTTGTCTGGATATTAAATTTAGATTTTTACCAAACTGGGTAAGTATATGGTTATTTAGCCTATTTTGGGCTAAAATCTGTAATGTTTAAGAAGAAAGCTGCCACAAGCGTAATAATAGTGTGAACAGCATGAAAGGGGCATGTTTAATGTACTATAAAGAACATTTACTGTCAAAATCATTACATGAAAATGATAATTGCTTATTTTAAGAATTTTACCTATTTATTAGACTTAGAAGTGTGGTGGAGCTTCTACTTAAAGAAAACTAGTGATTTCAGAAATGTTTATTGAGCATTACCACACATCTGGCACTGTTTTTATTTCATTGTCATAAATTGCACCAGGTTATTTATAAATTATGCCTCCAGTTAGGCTTTTCTCTAACCCAGGTTGGTCAATCCTTGAGTTAACCTAAAGTGTCAAGGTTGTACTATGTGTTCAATGTTTATGTTTTTCTAAAAGGCTGTTGAATGCACCAAAGCAAGGTTAACACTGATGTTTTCACTGGTCATAAAAAAAATATTATTGATTGCTCTTTTGCTTACAGTATTTATTGAGACAGTATTATGCTCATTCAAAATGCTTTGCCCTATTTTCTTTTTCCAGTTGTATCAGTGCAGGTCTTCCTAAAACAGAAGCAAACTGGCATGATGTAATAAGTGATTTGAAAAAAATTGAAGATCTTATTCAAGTGAGTACTCATTTTCTGCTGTTATAATTGGTATGAAGTGTATCTCTCTCTGCGTTTTTCTGTCAGTCTTAATGAAATCTCACTTAAATAATTTTGTAGAAATTTTTGAGCCTTGTAAAGCCTCAAAAAAGTTTTTTCTTACTGTTTTCAGATTCCAATTATCTTTAAAACTTCATTTATAAATGGTCCAGCCTGAAGAGCTCTAGTCTCTGCAGGGCAGAGACTCTCTTCCCCTACCTAAAGAAAACAGGTGGGTGGTGGCACCTATACAGGAGGTGTCCTGACCCTTAGAAGGGCTGTCTCATCTTGGACTAGTGACTCTCTTTTCCTACCTAGAGGCACCAGGTAGGCTGGCATAACTGGCAGGGGAAAGAGAGCAGGAGCCCCACTCAAAACAATGGCCTGGAGAGGTATATTTTATCTCTAGGGTCTCCCATCCTCTACCTAGTGAAGCCAGGTGGTATGGCCTGGAGAAGTGCTACCTACCCCAGTAGGTGACATCAGAAGGGATCAGTGGGAACCCAATGGCACCAAGCATACCAAAATAGCACCACAAGGGTTCTGAAAACTAATCTGTCATTGTAATCACAGCATCCAAAGGTAGGTTGCAACTTGCATGTTAAATCTAAACAGGCTGATTGCACGTTAAAGTAGAAGACTTATATAGGATCTCAGTCTCCTATTATAATTGCCACAATGCCAGGATACAATTGAAAATCACTCATCATACCAAGAAACAGGAAAGTCGTAATTCAAATGAGAAAAGACAATCAACAGATTCCAAAATTGAAATGGATCAGATGTCGGAATTATGTGACATGGATTTGAAAGCAGCCATTATAAAAATCCTTCAAAAATCAATTACAAATACCCTAGAAGGAAATGAAAGAATAGAAAGCTTCAGCAAAGAAATAGAAGATATAAAAAGAACCGAATGGAAATTACAGAACTGAAAAATATAATAACTGAAATACAGAAACTGAAAAGGCTTAGCAGAACAAATATGACAGAAGAAAGACAGTTAACTTGAAGACAGAATACTAGAGAGAAAACTGACTGGAAAAGAATAGCTTCAAGGATCTTGGGGACAATAGCAAGAGATCCAGGATTCCTATTATCGTCATCCTAGTAGGAGAGGAGAAAGAGAATACAGCAAGTAAAAGGCATAGATTGGCAGAGCTGATAACAAAACACAACCCAGCCATGCTATCTACAAGAAGCTCACCTCAAGTACTATGACATAGGTAGATTGAAATTAACAGGATAGAAAAAGATATACCATACTGTAGTGGCTTTAATAGTGTCCCCTCAAATTCCATGTCTGCTGTGGATTGATTGAACTGTGTCCCCCAAAGTTCAAATAGTAGAAGCTTAATCCCCACTGTAACTGTTGAGGGTAGGAAATCCAATTACGGTAATTGAAAGGTGGGGCCTTGAAGAGCTGATTAGATTGAAGGACCATGCAGTAGTGAATGGATTAATAATGGTGGTCAGGGATGTGGTTCTGAGGGTTTAAAAGGAGAGCTCGTGAGAGTCTCTCTCTCTCTCTCTGCTCCACCATTTTCTGCCATGTGAGACCCTGCATTGCTGTTAAGCCGAAGAAGACCCTCACCTTTGTTGCCTGGACTTTGGACTTCCCAGCCTCTGAAACTAAGCAATCAATTTTGTTTTCTTACAAAGTACCCAGTTCCAGGTATTTTATTATAAGCAACAGAAACGGATTAATAAAATGTCCAACTGGAAACCTTCACATGTGAACTTATTTGGAAGTAGCATCTTTGCAGCTATAACTAGTGAAGTTAAGATAAGTTCATACCTGAGTGAGGTGGGCCCTAAACCCAGTGACTAGTATCATTATAAGAAAAGGAAAGGACATAGAGAAACCCACTAGGAAGAACGCCGTGTGAATACAGAGGCAGGGATTGGAGTGATGCAGCTGCAACCCAAGGAAGGCCAAGGATTGCCAGGACCCACCAGAAGCTCAGGAGAGGCAAGAAGGGTCTTCCCTAGAGCCTTCACAAGTAGCATGGCCCTGCCCACTGCTTGATTTTGGACTCTTTGTTTCCAGAACTGTGAGTGAATGAATTTCTGTTGTTTTAAACCACCTACTTTGTGATATCTTGTTACAGTAGCTCTAGGAAACTGATAAACGTTATTTTAAAAGGCAGAAATATCTATATAATATCAGATAAAGTAGTTCACAGCAAATAATATTACTATAGTCAAGAGGAATGTGACATAGTGACAAAAGATAAATCCAAGAGGAAAATGTAATGATCCTAAATGTCTACAAACCAAACAACAGAGTCTCCAAGTTCGTGAAGTAAAACGTAATAGAGATGAAAGGAGAAATAGACAAATAAACAATTATAGTTGAGAACTTTACCACCTCATTCTCAGTAACTGATAGAACTATCAGACAGAAAACCAGAGAGGAGATCAAAGAATACAGCCAACCAACAGCATCTAATTTAATACATAGAGCACTCCTCCCAACAGCAGCAGAATATACTTTTTGTTTTTTCAAGAACCCAAGGAACAAGTATCAAGACTGAACCTACACTGGGCCATAAAACAACTTTAAAAAAAAATTGATCAGAACTTGAATCATGCAGAATGTGTTCTCAGACCGCACTGGAATCAAACCTACTCTATCATAAATACAATAGGAAAATCTCCAAATAATTGCAAATTAAATAATACACTTGTAAACAATTTGTGGGTCAAAGAGTCACTCTTAAAGGAGTTTAAAAATACACAGAACTTCATAAAAATGAAATACAGCATATGAAGATATGTTGGTTACAGCTAAGGCAATACTGAGAGGAAAATTTTAAAAAATGAAATGATTACATTAGAAAAGAGGAAAGGTATTAAATCAGTAATCTAAACTGCTATCCTAAGAAACTAGAAAAAGAAGGGCAAAATTAACCTAACACAAGCAGAAGGAAGAACATAATATGAGAGCAGAACTTAATAAAGCTGAAATCAGGAAAACAATAGGAAAAAATCAATGAAACATATAGCTGGTTACTTGGAAAAACCATTAAAATCAATAAACCTGTAGTAAGACTGACAAAAATAGAAAGAGAAGGCACAAATCATAAATACCAGGAGTGAAATTGGGGGCTACCACTACAGAATCTGCAGTCATTAAAAGGACAGTAAGCAAAACTATGAACAATTTTACATTAACAAATCTAACAACTTAGAGGAAATGGAACAATTCTTCAAAAACCACAAACTACCAAAATATAAGAAAAGATGTAATAAATAATTTGAACACTCCTATAACCACTAAAGGCATTGAATTTATCAAACATAAGCTCCTACAAGAGAATCTCCAGGCCCAGCTGGTTTCACTTGAGCATTCTACCAAACATGTAAAAAAGAATTAACAACAACCGTACAGAGACTTTTCTAGAAAATAGAAGAGGATGGAATGCTTTCTGACTCATTTTAGGAGGCAGTATTATTTTGATGTAAAATCAGATAAAGACAGTACCAAAAAGAGAAAACTAGAGACAGATATCTTTCATGAACTTAGATATAAAAATCCTTGATAAAATAATGCTAATTTAAATCTAGTACCATATAAAAAGAAATATACACCATGGCCAAGTGGGATTTATTCCAGGTATGCAAGTCTTGTTAATATTTGGAAATTAATCAGTGTAATCCACCATATCAAAGGCTAAAAGAAAAAATCCTATAGTCATATCAATTGATGTAGACAAGGCATTTGATAAAATACAACACCTGTTATGGGCTGAATTTTGTCCCTCTGGAAAAAAAATCCATATGTTGAAGTCCTTCCAGTACCTCAAAATGTGACTGTATTTTGAGCCAGGGTTTTTAAGAGGTAACTAAGTTAAAGTGAGGTCATTAGGGCAGGCTCTAACCCAATATTACTGGTTTTCTTAGAAGAAGAGGAATTTAGGATACAGATACAGAGGGAAGACCATGTGAAGACACAGGGAGAAGATGGACATCTGAAAACCAAGGAGAGAGGACTCAGAAGAAACCAACCCAGCCAACACTGATCTCAGACATCTAGCCTCCAGAATTGTGATAAAATAAATTTCCATCATTTAAATCACCTAGTCTGTGGTGCTTTGTTATGACAGCCCTAGCAGGCTTATGTATCACCTATTCAAGACAAAATTTCTCAACAAAGTAAGAACAGAGAGGAACTTCCTCAGATTGATATCAAGCATGTACAAAAACCTAGAACTGCCATACTTAATGTCACTTTTAAGTGAACACTGAATGCTTTTTTTCCTAGGATTGGGAGCAAGGCAAGGATGTCTTCTGTTACCACTTTATTCAACATAATATTGGAATTTAAGCCAAATCAATAAAGCAAGAAAAAAAAAAAGGCATGTGGTAAGAAATCAAAGGCATGAAGATTGAAAGGAAAATTATAAATTATCTCAAGTTTTTCAGGAAGAAAATACCAAAAATGGGTGTTATTTTATTTGGAAATGTAAATTAAAACCACAATGACATATCATTATGTGGCTATAAGAATGCCCAAAATAACAAAAAAGTGATAATGCCAAATAAATATAATTAAAATATAAATATAATATAAATAAATAAAACATAAATGAAAACATAGTGATAATGCTGACAAGGATGAGGATAAACTGAATCATTCATACATTGCTGGTGAGAATGTGAACTGATACAGCTACTCTACAAAGTAGTTTGGCAGCTTCCTATCAAACCAAACATGCATTTGTCACATGATTCAACAATTATACTCTTGTACATTTATCCCAGAAAAATGAAAACTTGTGTTCACACAGTAACATGCACATGAATGTTCATACAGCTTTATTCTTGATTCTGCCAAAACCCAGAATCCACCCAAATGTACTTCAGTAGGTGAATAGTTAAACTGTGGTGTATCATATCATGACATGCTACTAAGCAATAAAAAGGAGCAAACTAATGATACTCTCAACAAGATGGATGAATCTCCAGAGTATAATGCTGTGTGAAGAAAAGGCAATCTCCATAAACTGTGTTACATCCATACAATCAAATACTATTCGGTGATTTTCAAAGCGAGCTGTGAAGATATGAAAAGACATGGAAAAACCTTGAAAGCATATCGCTAAGTGAAAGAAGCCAGTCTGGAAAGGCTTCATACTGTATGATCCCAGCTAGCTATATGACCTATTGTGAAAGGCACAACTAGGGAGACAATAAAAAAATCATTGTTTTCCAGGAGTTAAGAGAGAGGGAGGGATGAATGAGCAGAGCAAAGGTGATTTTTAAGACGGTGAAACTGTTCTGTATGACACTGTGATGGTGGTTATGTGTCGTTATGCATTTGTCAAACCCATAGAATATACCACACAAACATGAACCTTAGTATTTTGTAGACTTTGTTTATAATAATGTATCAATATTGACTCATCAATTAGAACAGACATACCACACGAATACAAGATATTAACAGTAACAGAACTGGAGTGGGGGGCCAAGGAGATATAAGAGAACTCTGTACTTCCTGCTCGTTTATCCGTAAACCTACAACGGCTCAAAAAAGTCTGTTAATTTTTTTTAAAACTAATCTCAAAAGTTTACATACTGTACGATTCCATTTATGTAACATTCTTGAAATGACAAAATTATAAGAATGAAGAACAGAGAAGTGGTTGCCAGCGGACAGAGAGATAGACTGGAGGGGACAGGGACTTGGGGGGTGGGGTGAAGTTTTGGCCGCAGAAGAATAGGGGGAGGATTCTTGTGGCGATCAGACTATTTTGTATTTAGCTGTGGTGGCATTTATGTGAACCTACACATGTGATAAAGTTGCATAGAACTGTGTGTCTGCACACACATATACTGTTACGTGCAAAACTGGTGAAATCTGAACAAAGTGAGTGTATTGTGTCAATGTTAAAATTTTCTGGTTGTAATATTGGACCATGGCTATGCAAGATATTACCTATGGGGGAAACTTGGTGAACGGTACACAGGATCTTTCTGAATTTTCTCTTATAAGTGCATATGAATTAAAAATTATCTCCAGTAAGAAATTCAACTTAAAAAGCTGAATTTAATGTTTTCAGTAGGTTGTTATCATTATATCTAAACAGGGCATAATTTTTCATATTATCTATTTTTTTTTCAGTATATACATATTGATGCTACTTTATACACTGAAAGTGATGCTCATGTAAGTAGTTTATTTTTTTTTAATTGCTGCTTTTGTGGTTTTCAAAAGTCCAAGAAGTGTATTTTTCATACAACTGAAATACGTGTAGTTTTTAAATCTAATTTTTCATATGTTCCTATAATATGTGATCAATGAATTTTATGTTATTATTGAGGTCGTGGGACTTGGAGACAAAGAGCTACATAAATGCTATTTTTGTAATGGTGCCAAATCAAAATATAAAAGAGCCTTTTCCATCAGTGTCAAACAAAATATATTGTGTTTTTGTGATGCAGTTAGATCATGCTGCAATTAGGTGCAAGAATCAGGTTAACCAATTCTATTTAAAAGTATCCAACATATCTGTTATTTCCAGTGTTGTGATGTATCACCATCTCTGATCATATCTTCCATAAATTGCTTAAAGGCATCCATGTTCTACGTTTTGCATGGATCTCTACATTTGTCACAAAAAGGATTCTGATTAATCTCTATGTGAGAAAAGAAACATAATCCATAAAATTTATCAAAATTCAAAAATAATCTTGAGCTTTTCCCATTAATACACTGACATTGCCTAAGGCATATAGGGTTTTTGTCATGCTGTTAGTCCTCTCCCTCTGGATTGCTGCTAAAACCAAGAAACAAACCCTCAACTTCATCTCATGGAAAACAAATTCTATGTTGCGTTCATTCAAAACAGTGAGTCCTCTCTGTGTTATTCCTCAACTCGAACTTCTCTGAAATAGAATGTTTTGCCCCCACTGAGACTTTCTAAGCATTGGAAAGAAGCCATTAGCCAGAAACTAGAAAAAAAAAAAAAATTCATCAACCACTTTGCTGCTGCACATAGAAATTGCCTCCCTCCTCTGGCTTCAGTGTGTTTTCTATTTTTCTTTGCATTTTTTTTTCTAAGCAGCAAGCAGTCAATTAACCACAAACATTCAGCACCCTGAGATTGCTTTTTTTGTGAGAAGGTAACTTGGTAATTCATGGGTTGTACAAAGAACCTGAGATTGAAATTTAGATTTAAACAGTGACTCAGCCACTTCCTACCTGTGTTACCTTGGAAGTCACTAAACATTGCTGAACTTAGGTTGTGTTATTGTTAACATGGTGATGGTATTTACCTTTCAATCCTGAGCAGCTGCTGAGGGGGTGGAGGATGAGGAATATTGCCAGTGCTGGGCACTTGGGTATGTTCCCTCATTTATTCATCTATTCAGTAAGCATTCAAGTGCCTGCAGGGTCCCGAGCACTGTGGAAGACATTGGGGACACAAAGTCAAACAAGTCATGGTCAAATCCCTAGATGTTCATTAAATGTTTCCTTTCTTTTAAGTGTAGGCTTTGCTTAAGTAACTTGTGGGAAATGTATTTTTGTGGTACCTATAGGATCCCTTTCTGATTTCACCAGTCTCTGAATAAGCATTACTCCTGCTTTGATTTTTCTAATAAATATCTTGGAATCACTTCTGTCTCTGGAACTTTGGAACTTGCAGGAATAGTATGATTAGAAGCTACCACTATTTAAAACATTAACAATACTATCTGATTCTAGAAACTCTTATAAGTGCACTCTCTATATTGATACTTTAAGAGTCTTGGGCCAGTGTTGTCACCCTTTCCACAGGAGATGTGTGCTCAGTGAGAAAAAGTGGCCTACGGTTTCCACGTATTCTAGTTTTATGTTCTTCTGGAAAATATCACTATCCTTCTTGATTGTTTTTTATCGATTTGTTTTAGTTTTGATTTCAAAGCCAAAAGTATCTTAAGAGTATTGTGTATCTTTATAAAATATTTGGATTGACTTTAAAAAATCAAAATAACATTAATGTGAACATGAGAATACTTGGAAAGTAAAATTTTTTCAAAATTGTTCTTTTAACTCTTATGTTTAGCCTGATTGCAAAGTAACAGCGATGAAGTGCTTTCTCCTGGAGTTACGGGTCATTTCACATGAGTCCAGCAATATGGACATTAACAACACAGTAGAAAACCTTATCATCCTAGCAAACAGCAGTTTATCTTCTAATGGGGTGAGTTATCAAATAGTTGTGCAGAACTACGGCTGATATTTTTGGCTTGATTGGGAGAAGTCATTAATGGACAAACAGATCCTCCGAGAGGCACTCAGGAGAGAGAGTGCAATTCCAGGGGAGTGGCATCCAAAAGTGGCATCATCACTGGCATGCACACGATCCTAAACTGCTCATTGATTTATTCAGTAAACAAGCATTTACTGAATAATGCCAGGCAGTATGCTTCAGTGCTACAGTGACGGAGAGGTAAGGGAATGAGCCTTAAGAATACCTGGGGAAGTATGTTCAGGCAGAGGCAACTGGAAATGCAGAGACATAACCATATATTTTACTTAATGGGTATTGTTTGATTTTTCCCTACTAGAATATCAGCTTCAAGGGGGCAGGTATTTTTGTTTTTTTCAATGCTGAATCCTAGTTTCCAGAATAATGCCTCACATATACTAAATACTTAATATGCGTATGAAATGAATTTATTAATATTTACAATACTCCTGTGATATGTTATCTTCATCTTATTGCTGGAAAGAGTGAGCCATGCAACAGATAACTAATGGCAATATCAATGTTGAACTCTTTAATG